ATATATATATATATATATATATATATATATATATGACATCCACCAATGTCATAAAACGCCTAATCGGGAGATTTCGTGGTCTCTTCTAAACAAGATAGACTTTGTTACGGAAAACTTATTGAGTTTGGTAGACTGAACCCAGGCGGATTCTACAGGTGTGAAGGCCTAATATGCTGCCTAATTTATGCACCAGAAGACTGTTCATATAACCAAGGAATGTGTTCGGTATATAAAGGGCGTCGGTACTCGAAACATTGCCACGACACTTAGCAAACTCTCACCAGCAACGCTTTAAACTACTTTCGTCCAGATTACTATTATTATCATAATAATATTTACTGTTTTGTTGTCCCACCCATAGCGCGACACGTTCCAGCAAGCGTACACTGTACACTTGTCGACAATGATGGCATTCACGTTTCTGTTCACCATCTTCGGATTCGCTGCGGCGTTCGCAACAAAGTTATACCATGAAAGCGTGTACGAAAAAGATTCCAGACCATCTCATAAGGGAACAGTGGATCCAATTCTCACTTTTACCAGACGATCCGTAGATGATCAATGAAGTCTTAATCCTCACGTTTTAGCCCACCGTTTCAATTTCAGAGCATTTTCAAAACTACCGATCTCGTCTTCATCCGTCTGTTACAAGTCGACCACCATCACCGAGGGAAATCAGAACTGCTGACGTTTCACTTACGAACTATGAATACAACCACTGTTTTGAATTGAATTTATCATCAGGGCGTTACCTATTCGATTTAGTTGTAGGTAAGTGTTAAGACTGAGACCCAACTGAGTGATAAGCCTATTAGTTTTATCTGAACTGTGCCCCTGGCAAGTTACTGATCCCCTTGGATCATGCGCGCTATCTTAAGTTTTGCAGTGTCCACTGCACAGGCGTGTAGGTTTCATGCATTATTCACTTCATTCATTAGCTGGACGAGCTCGAGGGATCTCAGTGATTAAGGCGTCAGCTTAATAACCGGAAGGCCGGTGGTTCGAACCCAACCTCTGCAACTAGACTGATCATGCCTAGGCGTAGGCGACCTAGCAATACCCCATACCTCACGTTTCCTTCCGGCGGCAGGACAGCTAGGCATCGAAAGGGTTACAACAAAGGGTTACGCACGCACAGAGTTTTCAGTGGTATCAATTATGTTTGGTCTCAGATGTCCACAAAAACCCATGGCCAAGTTATGAATCCACTAGGTTTCGTGGATTGTACCCATCAATTATGGAAATATTCATTTCAAAATAGGATCAGAAATTCATCCAAACATATTCTTCCAAGTAGCGATGAACGGAGCCGTTAAGATGTGACAGCAAGGCTTGTTGAGGGTTAATGAATTCAACTAACAAATAAAAGCATCTCGTTGGACTATTCAACCTGTTTCTTGCTGGTGTCTAGACTTTTCGAGCAACAAGTGCGTTATATCTGCTGCCCATCTGTGGTATCTGGCTCATCCATCGCCTAATGCTGAAAAAAAGACTCACAGAAGGGAACACAACAGCTACACTCCGAACAACCGAGTGTGAGAGGGTGAGTGCGTGCGAGTGTGATAATACAGCGGTCTCAATCTATTTATTGGAGGGACACTGTCCAACTTGGTCCAATGCTTAGGCACGCAGTCTGGCCTTGGTACGAGGCTGCGACGCGCTGTATATTGCGGGAGCGTTGTCTGACCTTGATCAACGCCAAGTCGCGCTGTGTGGGTTTGATACAAGGCTGTGAAGTGCTCATATTGAAGGGGTCCTGCCTGTCTGGTCAGCATCTAGCGGAGCGGAGGGTCTCAGTAGATTTTGGGTATTCGGTGTTTGCTTTCAGAAATCTCACCTTCCTGATTAAGTGTAGTCACACAAAGCCTTCTGGATCCCAAGTCAGTTGGGCTAAGCTTAGCCAACACTAGAACGATCAGATGGTCCCATAAGCTATTCACTTTTCCTTGAAATCGGATACGGTTCTTTTATGATTGTGAACCCCGGCTTAGATTCCAGAATTTTTCTAATTATGTGCTTTCTACGCATTTTACGGATTTTGTTTCATTTAACAAACCTACTTACGAAAGCTGAAGAAGTTAAAATCAGTATATCCGAAAACGACTGATAATCTGTTGTGATGCTGGCGACCGTAGGATATTAAGGATGGCACAGTTAGTTTGCTAATCGTAATGCGTGGTGCCATGTCGTTTGTGCAAACAGGGGACGACGGTCCAGTTGAAAATCTTGTTTTTGCATGACACTATTATCTTGAGACAGCCACTGAGAGTAAAAGAATGGATTAAAATGTCACTACCATCGGATATTAATTACAAATAATTTCTAATGGTCTAATTGACAGCTTCGTTCACCCATGTATAGGCAATAGCCCTAAGTATTGTTCCGAAGCTCAATGCTGATAGCATTGCAGACACATACCCGGGGGATGAGTACCTACCTGCATAGCAAGCAAGAAGACAAAAATTTCAAACTAGATTATGGAAGCAACCATACCACGCACAGGAACTTCAATAATGTCTGTGAAATCCGTGTGTTCTGTATGTGACCGACAGAAACATACAACAGTCATTTCATCTCAAATTAAACCTCTAGAGTTCTCCTGAATAGCGGTCTTCCAAGAATACAGCTGTTTGACACGTGAGACACTCAGTGGATGTACCTCAACGATTCAAGTGAACTGTGTCCATAAACTTCCGCATCTGACGAACTGACAGTGCTAGGTCCATTGAGTTCATTATAAGGTTACTTTTTTATGCAGCACACCATTGTGTGTATCTTACCACACAGTGCATAGTTAGTCCGAGGGTTTATTTGGTACGACGCATAACGTTGAGGTAGTTCTCCACTTGTGATTTTCTCCCATAATCTCAAATTGACGCCGGACCCAACTACAAGGCTTTAACTGGATATAGACATACAGGGTTTTGCTGACACTTAGTAGATAAATCGCTCTCTTGAAGGAACACCATTAGTAAGGTCGACAGCCCATGGCCGGTTTCACCCTTCTTGAGGCACGTCAGGCAGGCGCAGTCTTCGACTTTCAGTCAATCTTACGTTCTACTTGAACCTAAATTGTACAAAATTATCGAAACACACCCATTTGCACATCACTCCGGTTAAAACGTGAAATTCAACTGGATCCCAGATGAGTCTGTCCTTTACATGTTCATTTTCCGTAGTTTTAAGCACGGTTGAGCCTATGTGCCCATAAATCACCTAGGAAATAAACTACTTTGCAAGAATGGAAAGTAGCGAGCAGTGTTCTGGGAATCAACCGAGGGACAGCATAAGCTAAAATAGTCGGGATCTTCTAGGTGTTTGTTCTCCAAGTGTTTGGTTTCATTCACAAGGGTCAACTATGCAAGCATCGTCGAATTCGCTGACAAAGCAACTGACGAAAACGACGATTTCCCTTTAATGTTTCTTCCACCGTGACAGTACCCAGTTTTACCGCCAGCGAACAACCTAAATGTCTACCGAATATCATAGGGCTATAGTGGAGAATGCCACAAAAGCGCGGCGGTCGAGGAGGATGGGGGTCCGGTCGGTCGTCAAGGTATGCGGTCTACAGGGGGAGAATTCCACTTGAATTAAGGTATTCATCCAAATGCAGTTGCATTCATCTCTCCAGTATTTTATTATTTGGAACCAGAAACCAATTTGTCCGAAGGGAAGTTTGTCCATAGTCCTAGTGCCAGTATCCAGCGCAACTGGCTTGACAAGGCATAAGTTAACAGAATTTTAGAAAATCGTTCAGCTGTAACACCCTTTCAGCGCCTATCTGCCATACCACCCGGAGGAACTTTGAGGGCTGGAATACTGCCCGGTTGTCCAAGCCTAGACAGGGGAAGTTGGGAGGCAGAGGTCGGGTTCGAACCACGGAAGTTGCGGCTAGCAGTAGAATACAAACTATTAGGAAAATTTACCACGTTTTTCAAACGCGGGAAATTCAGCCTTCCGTTTTATAAACAATTCCACTTTTCTACTAAACGATAAACCGGTTGGTGCAGTAGTAATCACGTTGCTTTCTCCTCAATGAACGCTGCAAAATTTTATCAAACTTTGTCCGCCAATAACTACACCGTCAAAGGTGAATACTATGTTACTTGATGAAAACAGTTCAATGAAAGGCTTCCTAGAAAGAGTCTCTGATGGGGGAATAGAAGAACCGGTGTGTTCAAACCGAGGTTTCAGTGTTACGCGAAAATTAGAAATGGTTCAAAAGGCAAGCGCGCTATGATACAACACCAGGTAGGCAATGAGATGACTATCTAGGGTGATGGGGATACAGTACTCTTGTGAATAAGTTTGGTCACTAAGTCATTCATTCGACCGGCTAAGCCACGAACGTCATCCAGTAGGCCAGCCTGGGCGATGGCGCAGTCAAACAGGTGTTCCAACAACGTTTTCGCTAAGTCTTCGTCAGAGGGGTTGGAAAGCAGCTGAGATAAATAGCGCACTAGATCGTGTTCGGGGTTGAGTTCCAAGATTGGTTCCATGACATGAAAACGCTCCTCTGCCGGTCGATCGGCCAACGTGGTTCTGAGAAAGTGACGCATGGCACCGGCTTCTCGGACGGACACAAAGCATGGGTGGTTGACCAGTCGTTGTGTCACCTGAAATGAGAAAAGATGATGAAGGAAAGCTACACCATGTAGTAAGCAGAAAGTCACTGGTGAGCATTACTGAAAGGAGTCAAAATAACTCGTTTTTATGTGAACAATTAGTAATAACCGGTACCCCTGTTCTTGTACAATATTTTGCCTAACCGGCTGTGTTGCTGAATGCCCTACCTCTGAACTGAAACATAAACAAATTTAACCAGACGGGAGCTTCGTGTATGACCAAGTGACAAAGACATGCATCATTTAAACAAAGCAGCGCGACGACCAATAATGCATATTGGGAAGTTCATCGGTTGAACGTTTGACAGACGACAGATGTCAACTAAAGATGAGCACAATGCGTAGCCTAAGCCGACTACTACAGATGCCTCAGGTTCACACTAGATCATCCTGAGTCTCCAATCCTCGACCTATGGCAGAATAGTCACACAGTTTCAGAAGAGCTTGGTAAACAATCGGTAGGTTTTATTTGGGCAACGCTTCGCTTTTGACACAAAAGCTTCATCAGGTCAAGTGAACAGGTCAACAAATTGGCCGGGTTATAAGACAGACGGGGAACCAATCAGTAAGTCCTCTTCACACTAGATCAGTGTTGAGTGTCAATTAACGGCTCTTGTCGGCTAGTGTGGGTGCCAAAATCTTGAATTGATGGGTTAGAGGGGTTCCAAATTAGTTCCGATCGCTTCTCGTTCCTTAATCTTCCAATTCAGAGTGCTTCACTTGGTGATTCACCTCGGGTGCCGCTGTTAGATTTTCCCTGGTCTTTGTGGGGTTGCGAGTGCTCCGACAATTTAGTTTGAGGGGGGTTGAGGTCAAGTGGATTTCAGATGATAACCGCACACCAACGCGTGTCAGCTCGAGCGACCCAAGACCGTTCTCCACACGCTAGCCAGTTCAACGCCTTCCATTCTGTTAACGCTGGGATGATTGGCGATTTCTACCGCCTCGGCGATCAGTCTGTGTGACGTGGACCGTAGTCCTCACCTCAAAACCTCAACATTTTGTGTCCCGTGTCGAGTGCGTGTTCCGCAATCGCCGAGTCTTTCAGTAACGCTTGATATTCATCTGCGTTTCTCGGCGGCCTGTTTATTTTTCTACTATGCTCTCCGACTCTGATGTCACACAGTTGTTCATTGAATAATGTCATCACATGTTACTCACAGACAAGTTACCAGCCAGTTGGAACTCAACTGGAAGACCTAGTACCGAGCAGGCAAACAGGACGTTGATTTGTATGTCGATGACCAACAGAGAAACCTAATCAGCACAAAGCTGTGTCAGGGCTTGCTGTTTGAGTAAAACATGCGCGCTGATAAGCAACAAGGTCATATCAGACCTCACTAAGGGGTTCTCAGACGAAATCGATAATAGGCATGAAACAAGGGGGAAGGAAACGGAGAAAATTCGTTGTGACAGAATCAACTTATTCTACTGTCACCTGTTAAAACAGTGCGTATTACGAACATTCATTTTTAATTAAGCGTCGAACAGCCGGGAGTGAATTACACAGTCGTCAATGGGGCTAATCTGTACGTAGCTATGAATGGTGGAAAACGGAGACCCTCTGTCTGAATCCTGCAGCCAATGGACAAGTTCTGAGTTTGATTCACAATAAATTGCTTTTCCTCTCTGGCAAACCTACAATTAGTGATCCGTTCTCCAACAAGACCGTAGGACTGCGCATACACCACTGCCTTAAGTGGGGTATATGCAAGCACCCAAATGAATTGTCCAAGATAGATACCGAGGTGGGGAAAATTTTTCAAATCAGCACCTGTACCTTAACATTTTTCACCTTCAGCCCCAATACGCCTTTCGCCCACGAAACCAGTCGCGAAGCCTCGTCCTGCGTGAGACAATTCGGCCGCTCGGGTCCAACGGAATCAGTATCTGCGGAATCCTCAGCTATGGTCGTTTCAATCGACCGCAGGCTTTTCCTGTCATACTGCCCCAGTTGCATAAGTACCAGTTCATCGTAGGGCTCGTAAAGGAATAAAACCTAGAAAAGAGGAACAAAGTAAGGAAAGGATGACGGGTGTTTATTTGTCAAATATATTTGGGAAAAACAGAATTTCAACATTACTCTCCATTCTAAGGAGGCCGAAATGGGATCCGTTTTGCTGGAAATTATAGCTGATTTGAAGGAGCACCTGGAGGAAATTGGGGTCCTCTTGAAACGCACTCTCGCCTAACATCTGAAAAGTACATGGGTTGAAATGCTTGTATACAAACATAAACGGGAGCCACGGATAAAGTGTTCTCAAACGAGAATATTTTTTGACAGTAACTCACCGCCATCGAACCCTGGGCAAAGACTTTCGCTTATTTGTTAGTGGAAAGTAACGCGTTTTTTTCATAATGTTTGTAAAAATGACCACACACCTTGTAGGTTAGTGTCACGTTTGTGGGGGATCTCGATGGCTAATGTGGTGACCTTGCTACATGTAAACGCCTAATAGATAGTACGAACCTGCTAAGGTTCCTAATCATTGCACCTACAAAGTGTAAGGTCATGCTTGTGGACGTACAGTCACTGAACACGCCCCTTACAATCCAGGGAGAGGTACTGGAAGTTGTGGAGCGTTTTACGTATCTTGGAAGTTGTATTAGTTCTGATTGTAGTGTGACAGATGAGGTGAATGCACGAATCTGCAAGGCTCGGGCCGCGTTTGCTAACTTGAGACACCTATGGCGTCAGAATGGTTTATCCCTGAATCTGAAGGGACGTGTGTATCAAGCTACAGTACGGGCTGTTTTGTTGTATGGCTGTGAGACTTGGCCTATTCGAGCAGCGGACCTGAGACGTCTTCAGGTGTTCGACAATCGTTGTCTCAGAACCATAGCTCGTGTGGGTTGGTGTCGGCGAATCCGTAACGAGGCAGTTAGAAAGCGTGTTTTCGGTTGTGTAACGGGTACTTCCATTGAAGAATGTGTCCAGCACCAGAAGCTGCGTTGGTTGGGACATGTGTTACGTATGCCGAACCATCGTTTGCCGAAGAGAGTGCTGTTTTCCATGCCCAATTCAGAGTGGCGTAAACAGAGAGGTGGTCAACCCATGACCTGGCAGAGGAGTATGAAGGAGATCACGAAACGCTTGGGTGCTGTCGGTGCTACTCGCCTTCCAGGATGGGGACCGCGTGATCCTCACTGTGCCTGGTTGGAGACACTACAAGATATGGCTGCCAACCGATGTCAGTGGCGTTCTTGTTGTCAGTTTCTGTCCAGATTGCCTGAATGAATGTCTGGAGGTGTAGGCACCTCGGAATGATTGTGTTAAGCTAGCACTAAGTCCCTTCCCCGTCCACCTTTATTCTTTTCTTTACAATAAGGCTTTCAAATAAGTCATGGTTGTACGGCAGTGAGGCATCGGTGTTGAACACTGATGTCATGCTGTCGATGATGATGATGATGATTGAAATTCGTCCCCGGACAGAGAGTTCGTGCGGAAAATTCCTGAGTCAAAACAAGTCTGTCATACTCGGAAATTTCGGTATCAGGTGTGAAAATACGACCGCTCCAGTCAATACGAGCTACATAAGCTTAATCTGATCATACAAGTCAATAAAAATACTACATTGAACTCCAAAACAGTAAACCCACCTCAATCTGCGGCGATTTCTTGCGAATGGCCTCCAGATAAGGCGACGTCTCCGCTAGCTGTCGACTTGGTGCGGATAAGAAGTAAATCGTGCGTTCACCAGCAACCATACGTCCGGCGTATTCCTCCAGGCTGGTCGTCTTCCCGGGGGGAAGTGCACTGGTCTCCCAGCGTAAAAGCTTGGCTATTTGCTCACGAACTTCCTGCTCCGGCTCCGTAATCAATCCCTCTTTCAAATACAGGCCAAAATCTTTGAGGAACCGTTCGAATTTCTCAGGCTCTCGCGAAGACTGTTGCTAAGATGTTATAGGCACGGGGAACGTATGAGGTTGCACGAAGGCGCATAAATATGAAGGCGAATGTTCATTAATCAGGGGAATGACCTTAACCCTGAAATAAATGTATCGTTGTTTAGAAGCTAAGGCGAAAGTAGTAAAGAATAAACCATGTGATCTACGGGTGACGTTACGAGCGAAATAGTGACCACCTTACCAGCGGAATGCTGTAGACGAACAACTGGGCAACTTAAGGGTGCAGCAGCATATTGCCACTCGGATTCCTAATGGAATCACTCAGAGGTCAATCAGAGTTGTCATCCTCTCACACAGGCCATGTTGTCAATTCTATAGAAGCGTTTCATATCACCCAACACGAAGTTGGTTCAAAAGCGTGGTGTATAAACACACCTACGCAATCTACCTCTAGGTTATCAGAAGCGCTTTTTGTGAGGGATTAGTTTGCATGGCCATAACGCTTGACACAAAAATACACGCACTAGTCAAGTAGACGCGGCAACCAATCTTCTAGGTCATCGATAGGCTGGCTGTCCATACTACATGCCTACCGTGTTGGACGAATCATGGCTGGCCTTGTAACTTTATCGGTTAAATTTTCACTAGTTTAATGTATTGGCCTGCGGACGAAAGCCGGAAAACATTGTTTTTGATGCCTTCCTAATGACATTACCAGTACCATAAAGCACAAAACTTTGGTCAAAATGAAAGCTTTGTTCAATTCCCAGAGCGCATGATGTACTGCACGCCAATTACTCTGAAACAACTAATGTAAGTGGACGAAAACAAACGCGATAGGTGACTAGGTTTGATTAGCGATCATGTGATGCTGGGGACGACAGGAAGCGCAACAATCGCATCAATCCCAGGATAAACAACTGGGAGTTGTGAACGCCCTACCATTGAATCACCAATCACCTGATAAAGCCTGACTCGTCCAAGATGTTCAACTGGATATCCGATTGTGATGGTCCCACTCATTACACGCCGACAGTTTGTGTTGTCAAATAATTTGAGTTATTCAACGGGATTCTAGCCCTCAACCGGTAGTGTAGGTCACTCGTTATCTATTTCCCACGCAAATAATAGGTTAAACAGAAACATGATTGTTCAAAATCATAAAGGGTTTGCACGCAACAACCCAGCCTATCAATGTGGTCTGATCAAACATTTTTGAGGTGACACATAACATACACTCCTAAGAGAACTTACCTAACTTACAAACAAGCTTGACGGACAAATCAATCATCGATAAACGCACCCGAGTTCCCAATATTTCGACAGACTGTCAACTTAGTATTGCCTATTGTTGCTTTGTTTTAGCGCTCATCGCGCGCAACATGAACATGTTCATTGAACTAACGCTGACAACGCAGTTTACGCGGATCTGCCCAAATAACTGAAGTTCTAAACGAGCTGCTGTAATGATTGGACGCATATTCCTCAGGCGGAGTATAGACTACTGAAAATATATTTGCAAGCAGCCCGAAAGAAACCACAACCCCAAGATGTGCAACAGGGGAACGACTTATAATCGGTATATCGCACCCGGATCAGCACAATTTTCCAAAAATAAAAACGAAGTGAAATCCGGACAACAGAGGAAGTCTGAGAGTTCTATAAAGCTCCACAGAAGTCTGTCTACCATTTTACGCTATCGTATCAGCAGACAAGTCATGAACTTGTTAGATAGTGAAATTAAGCTGCTCGGTAGAAGTCTGAGTTTCAATTTAAACCCAGAACTGCTGAAGCCGATTGACGTCATGCCGGTAATTGAGGATAAGATAAACTTATTAACGCCAGAAGTTGTCAACAAAGCTGGTCTTCAGATTGAAAGTGTTATTAAAAGCCGAAGATCACATGTAGGTAAACTACTATTCGAAGAACAAGCAGCCTTGAAAGCACACCTATATGAAAAGTCAAGTCAAAAGTTAACAGACCGGATATAGGGAACCGAGTCATGGTAACAACAGTCAGCGACGATCGTAAGGCTGAACATATGAATGGTACCCTATGTCTTTGATGCCCTTTCACAAACAGAAATACTGTAATAATGAATAACAACACATCTGCGGATTTTCTCTGGAAAAGTAAAGGGAAAATAGGTGAGTCACTTTGGCTTCCGCTGTGCCCAAAGGCTTTTTAGGATTTACGTTTTTACGATTTAGAAAAGATATTAAACTAGTGTGCCTCTGAGGCTCATCGTAGACTAAAGACGGTCTCCAAGGTTCGTACTAGCGAAACTCTTAACCTACCTTCTCAGTGCACAGAACTAAAAACTCTGGATATCCTATCATCAAACTGAACAACACATGTTTATTCAGATCAACGTTTTGTGCGCTCTGACGTGATTTATTTACAAACAGCGTCAGATAGTGTGTTATTCGCAGAAAACTCGTTACCTGATCGTTCTCCCTCAACAGTTGAGGAATATCAGAGGCTAGTAAACATTACATTGGGTGCATATTTTTCGCTTCTACCAACAAACGGGGAGAGTGACCATGAGTTCATCTATATCCCCAATTATTGCCAACATATCTGTGCCACATTTAGAAACAAGAGTGCTTAAAATATCTGAAACTCCACCAAAAACAACCAGATAAAAAGGAGCATGATTCAGCAGTTTTGTTCCTACATCGTTGATTCATCATCAAGTGAATTTCGACAGGCTACCATACTGAAACTCGGTTTCCACGGCCGCAGAGAACGGCTCCTAAAGGTAGCTTTACTAGTCAACCACACAACAAACGCGGCGACTTAGTCGGGAGGCCCGGATATATCACCCATCTGTCAGAGCGGATAGGCATGGGACACCACACAGTATTTGTCTATCTGTCTCTCACTCCAGATCCACAGTTGGCACTAACTACTTGTACGCATGCACACACGTGTCTTGATCACCCAGCCCCAGATGTCAAACCACTTCGTCCGTTTACATGCAAAACCATGTCCACACTTCTCTGCATTGCTCGGATGTTGCTTCTTAGCCTACAGTTGACACGTTGCAAATAGGATACCATTCTTTGATAAACACGCACCGAAAGGTTTTAACAATACCATTAACCCAACTTCTGTTCTAACGGAAATGAAATCATCAAGTATTCCACCGTAATGTTTCTGACAGTGAACTGTACAATTTAGGACAGAGTATGTAGACGTCCCGATGTCGATGCCACGTCCTAACAATTTCCCACAGCCAGAGTAATGCCAGACAACACACAGTACTGTAGGGATTCTGTGACGTTGTGCCAGGCAACTATTACCTCCAAACTGAGGACCTTGAAGCACGAAAAAATACATCCGTCCTGCGCTTCATCTGATCGACCCAAACCAAGCTGAAAGCGAATGACAACTAAATAACAAATCGACAAGGTCTAAAGCAAAACAGAGCCTATTGTGGTACCGCAAGGGAAAGCCGTATTACCCAACCCCCCAAGAGTGGTAAAACAGCCATTGAAAGGAGTCACTGAATGCTCCAGCCAAATTTCTCATACGTTGTAAATAAATGGCATCAGATATTTAAAACCTGAGACGTGCTCCCGAGGACAGCCTGTAACTCCTTGGGAAAGTAGCGTATGAAAGTACCCATACGGTTGGGACACTCAAGCCTCACTGATGGAGGTTGTGAATGTCTTGATATCAGGATTCGACACTTGCTCGGGGAGTCAGCGAATATGGACTCCGCGTCCGGTAACGTTTCAGCCATATTTCTTAAGTATATTACTGAGATCTGACCTGAAACAAAAAATGAAGCCCACAGTAACGCTGGTCGCGGCTGTCGATTAATTATTTGATGGATAAGATTTATTGTGCTTCAAAGCTCACAATTTAGAAGTATAAGCGTCCAGCGTGAAAGGGTCACAGAAGCTTCTTGGTGAATAAAGGGAACAAACATGTGCATATGGTCAAATCCACTGAACTAACTAAAAGAGAGTACAGCAAAAGCCAAGGTACCTGGGTTGAACGCATTCCTTGGAAGTGTATTACTAGTGACACTGAGTACAAGCGAATCGGCTGTGGCAGAACTAGTGTGCTGGGGAACTATTAGCGATTGTACTTTGGTCAGCATGATTCTACTAAGTGTACCGTTCCAGTGAGCTTCGAACGTACGGGGACAGGAGACGAGTGAGGCGTGTCTTGTTAAATATTCACTCAATCAAGTACACGTCAGATAAAAGTGTCTTTGGCCAGGTATTGAATGAAAAATGCGCCATTCACGTGACAATACATCGCTATCCATAAACGGACTGATAACGCTCCACAGGATACTCTCTCTCAACTTCCCCTGTCTGGGATTGGGCAGCCTGGCAGTATTCCGGCCCTCGTGCTTCGTTCGCGTGGCACGGAGCTAGGCATCGGGTGTTGCAGCTGAACGCGATACTCCGCAGCTCCACAACAGATACTGCAGGAGATTCAAATTTCGGTCAGTCTACCGGCATAAGAAAACCCATCTACATGTCGTACAGAGTTCAGAATTGGGCTCCACCAGAAGTACGATCAACAGCAGCAAGCTGTGACGACAGCCCGCGGGATGAAGCCAGCTGAACATCTCAACGACAACAGTGTCTGTCATAGTGAGATAGGTTGGAATAGGCTAGATAAGGAATATGAATCAGTCACCACAAACATCCTGAGGATAAGTTATCGAAGTTTACATTATGTATACATTGCGTATGCAAAAATAATCTCAAGTGAGTTTATTCTAGTGAAATTCCACCACATTTGCAGCCTTGGGCGAGAGACTAGTGCAAATACACTAGGAAGAAAGACAACGCCAAAAGGTTGGCACGATCAGGAGTAGTCGTGTGGCAACGCCAAACGCGATTATTCAACACGAATAGCGTGGAAATACCCGTGAGTAATCAAGACGTCCAGAATTTTCTACGGAAGCCCAAGAACTGCTAATGCTTCAACGCACCTGGTCGTCTTCGGAAAAGTGATGCACCCAACCAAATGGTACTACGAGATAAAAAATAAAATGATGAAAACAACGAACCATAACACCTAAGGAAACCGATGAAAAAGCCTCCTAAAGAACATGGACACCAAAAAAGAGTAAAATACTAACCGAGAAAAACCGTAGGACGCGTGCGGTTAGGAGACGCTTTATTCTGTTTATCAAAGCGCTATCTTGCAGCAGTTCTCTGCTCAAATTCAACGGTACATCTTCGCTGTCAACCACTCCCTTGAAGAATCGGAGCCACTTGGGAAGTAAAGTAGCGGTGCGGTTCATGATGAGTACCTGGAAAGGGTGATAAAGTTTAATGAAACGGTGAACGTAATCGAAGCTTGCTCATCGGTCTCAAGAGAAGAGGGAGAACCGTATAACAACATAGGTATGAAGGCCTCACCCCACCACCACTGTTTTCGTATTAGTGGCAATCTCATATCACTAAAAAAATGTACCACATCGCACAACGATCGACCACTGTTTTGAAGCCTACAACTACAGAACAGTCGTAGCAAACGCATGGACGGAAATAGAACCCACCTTGCGAGAATACAAAGCGACACCATTGTCTGATTCACGGGCCACATCGAATATGCTTGGTTTCCAGTTTGGAACGTATAACAATACGCGCAAATTGATTGGCGCATCGGTTTTATACATCAACGTGTATCGCGGAGAATCGTAGGTATTCCCGGACAAATACTGATAGAACGAGTTATGTTCTTCCTCGGTAACCTGGGATGATGGTACGATAAGTCGAGTGAAAAAAGAATTTATGCGACTTCAGGGGCGAAACGTCAGGAAATAAGTCTGTGGTGAGCCTAACAAGCGCAAATGATTGATTATTAATGTGCTACAAAGCGTCTCAGGGGAAAAGGTGCGATAGGAGCGTAACCTGTTCCATAGTTCCTTACGAAGAACGGGTGTCTGAAAATTCTCCGGAAACCGTTATGTTAATTAATGTCGTTATGCATGGCCACATGATTGAATACCCATGTAGAAAGTTTGACGAAGCAGAGAAAGGAAGATCAGGGAGCACAGAACGGTCCATGCAACAATCCTGAATAATGTTTGTAACAGTGCCCTCCACCGGATGTGCTAAACAGGATGGCAGGGTCCCCATCGCATGCGAGATGCTAAAGAATGCATCTTCAGATTTATGGGAAAATTCGATAATTAACCCGGATGGCTATCAAAAATACCCTCATTTGCAGACAAATTTGGTTCTGACTAGAGACTCAACTGAAACGAAGAGTTTTCAGCAACCTTATCAATAATGTGGCACATAAATCCGGATACCTCTTTATTGTCTATTTTGCAGAGTTTATGTCAGGGAAAAATACCCTTGCAGACAAATTTGGTTCTGACTAGAGACTCAACTGAAACGAAGAGTTTTCAGCAACCTTATCAATAATGTGGCACATAAATCCGGATACCTCTTTATTGTCTATTTTGCAGAGTTTATGTCAGGGCTAACGCCTCAATTTACATGAATTACGCGGCCAATGCTGAATATCAGCTATATCAGCCGCTTGACGAAGAATTCAAATATTCATGAGTTAGATTTGTTCGGTTCAACGCCAAGTCGTAGTTAGATCTGCACTTGTAAAAATTTGCTGGTGGATTGGATAACTGGAATACCGGATAACAGAAAACGACTCCATGTCGGCTGATGAGTAATTTGCCACAAAACACTTCCTACCTGTGACGGATCTTTCAGCCATATTGGTTCGATTGCATTCACGCGCCGACCATTCAGATAGATTGGTGCACCAACGAAGTTACTATACTTCTTCAATATCCCCTCTACAACGTCTTCGCGCGAGAATTCCAAGGCAGAATCCTTCAGATGCATGATGATTTTAGTCCCCGGGCTGACATTCTCAGCTTCATGAAGTTCAAATTCACCATCGTGGCCGGTAGACGACCAACGATGACCAACCGTCTCTTGACCATCCTGTGAATTGGGACGTGAGTATACCTCCACCTATAAAATAGAGTTAGAGATTGTTACGAGGAGGAAAGCATGGATGAATCACTGATAACTGGGAATGCACTCATAATTAAAAACAAGTGAGATGTACAGATATAAACTGGGATTCGTCACGGAAAAACAAAGCGAATTGTTACGGCGATATGACTATAGTGCCGATACATCAGATAGCAGCATGGCTTCGAATTCCCCAGTGCCATGCTAGCAGCTGAAGGGCTCTGAAGTCTAGGGATGTTTGCAACACCAAGCCTAAATAAGCCACCCAGAACAATGTAACATCAATCACCTTACCTTATATGCACGAGTCTTCCGGATTTTCTTGATGAAAACCAAAATCAATTTGCGTTTTCTGATCGAAAGCAATCGATGATTCCCCGTGAAACACTGCTTGATTCTACCTAAATCTGATCACCACCTATCCATCTGGTAGCGAGTAAGGTACTCAAAAGGAATGTCTAGTGTAGACCGGAGTAAGAGTAACCGTCATTCTGCGATGAAGGCGTATCGGCAGCCGTCTGCACATCTACTACGTGCACTTACGCTACAAAAGGCTACCACTGGCGCACAAGGACCGTTTGAATACTGTCATGTAGAGCACACCTGAAAGATATATGGAATTGACTAAATTACTGAAATCGCCCTTTTGCTATGAGCAACTCCAACTCGGTTCACATTCGTTTGATACTTACACAAGTTGAGGGGGTGAGGTGGCTCAGTGATTAGAGCGCGAATTCACTGACCGGAAGGTCCGTGGTTCCAACGCGACCTCTGATTCTCCACTTACGCTGTCTAGGCTTAGACAACGCGGCAGTGTCCCAGCCCTCGTGCTTCCTGCTGGTGACTTGACAGTTAGGCACCGGAAGAGTGCTACAGCTGAACACAAGTTGAGTGCAGTTTACTCATGTGGATCGCGAAAAACAGCAACAATTATGCCTAGCGTAAACGCTGTATTTTCATCAGGTGCCACAAAATGAGATAGCTGTACAGGTCTCTTTGTATTGGTGGTCGGTTGTAAACTGTACAACAAGACGTTGCCGTAGGTGAATAGCGTAATTTCCACATACATTCAAACCCTAGTTGAGCAGCGATCACCTGGACACTGAAAAAGTGCAACGTGAATGGACAGTGAATTGGGCGTAGGGAGCAGTGCATCAGTGAAGTTTCCACGGAAAAGTTTGAGTGGTGTTTAACTGCGAATAGACACAGAATCCAGCGAATTCTACACCAGCTTTAGCATTATCAAAGCAGCATTCGATGAACTAGCTTTCAGTATTCAGAGACAATGCTCTGATTACTCGGTCCTAGAACAAACCGCACTTTCAACCACAAGGTACACGACAATCTAACTTCGAAACCAACATATGCGTTCGGTTTTGCCGTACATGTGCGTTGATGCCCTCATACGCGCCGAGGGCCAAACGGATCACGAGCATTACTAGCGTGGCACAAACTTAGTTTTATCCCAGCAGTGGAAGATTATAGTGTGGGCCCACAGTAAACTTGTATACTCTAGCTCAAACAATCACTTCCGATCGCACACACTTATAATATGAAGGGATAACAGTGAGTAAAGCACACCACTTATTTGATACACTGCAGAAGGCAAGTGTCCGACGGCCAAACACTTCAGACCTGGAAGGTTAGGCAATTGTTTCTTCCCTACCATGCAGCCTCGTAGATTCTGTACCCAACCACTGTGTACTACGCCTGGGGGAACTTGGAAATCGCCGACAGCTCTATTAGACACTGAGGACAAAAAGGGACAGAAATGGCCAGAACTGGATTCAAGGGTTTTACAATGTGTTTAGTCGTTTAGACAGAATGTAATAGATGGCAAAAACAAGGTCAATTTGGCTGCCACGTGTCCGCGAATGATGGTTGCACTACTGATAATGCGAGTAGTGTACGGTCTGGTAGGTAGACATTGAAATAGAGGTGACGTGAACAAATGGCAAAACATTAGGTCGGAAACGAAAGAAGTAACAGCTTGATCATATTTCAGCGATTGGCTTTTATCTGCAGTTAAATTGCATGGCAGTGAGCTGATAAAAGTGAACAGGGATTATAAAAACAATGAGCTAAGTGCCTTGGTAACACTACATCACGTAATGTGGCAATCGAACGCAATCGAACGCAGATCACAGCGCAACACATATTACGATCGGACCAATCGTAATCCAAGTGCGATGATTGTCAACAGCCAATCAGGTTACAGCTCGAAGCTGTTCTTTTCAAACCACATAAGAACAAACGCTGGGAGAGCCACTATCAACCCAACAGTGCACTGAAGATGTCTTCTAGAACAGTGACGAAACATCAGCAAGTCAGCTGCCATGCTCGGCAGTCGACTAATCAATTGCCAAAGAATGCACCTGATGTATCAGTATTCCATCACATGAACAGCTAAGTGCATATCTCAAATAGTCAGAGCTGACTGACTGTCCCAGTTTTCTGGGCAGCGCAATTATTGGCACCTTGTAATCTAGCGTAGAGCGGTGGCGTAGTGCACAATGTCACTATGTTCATCTGGTTTTGTACATCTTTCCGTGTCCGTCTAGCGTAGAGTAAAAGACTGGTTTAAATGCACCAACCAAGTCCCCGAAGGGCGTTCCTCCTATGACCAGGTACGCACAAGCGCTGGATACCTTACAGAATAGTGGCAATGTTTGAATTTCGGACAAATATTCCCGCTGGCCTCTAACGCAATTCAGGGGGACGAATTACCAGACTCCAAGCCCAACTCAGCGTGCGTGCCGATCGTAAATTCTGAGATTCTAAGGCAAAAGAACAAATTCATATAGCTGGGAATTTTCGAAGACTATATCCGCGCAACTGAACCCAGGATACCGTTAAGCTAACCTTGCACACAGGCACGTATGTAAGACAATTCAAAAAGTGAGTGAGTTGACTTGGCTGATGCATTTTAACCAGTCCATTACTCTGAGTTGATGGGCGCGGAAAACATGCAAAACTTGGTGAACATGACATTGCGCACTACACCGCTTTATGCTAGATTACTGTGTCACCAAGTACGCTGCTAAAGAAACTGGTACAATCTGTCAGCTCGGACAGTTTGAGATATGCATTTAGCTCCTTGTTTTTGTATTCCCATTTCACTCTTATCAGTTAACTGGTCATGCAGTTGAACTGCACATAAAAGCCACTCACTCTAATCTGATCAAGCTGTTACATCTTTCGTTTCCGAACAAGTGTTTTGCTATTTGTTCACGTTGACCCTCTACCTATGTCTCTGTACATCAGTCCAGACGCTACTCGCATGCTTCATCAGTGGTATACACTGTTACACGGGTAACAGCACGAAATCGACCGAAACCACTCAAAGAGAGTTCGGAAAACAATTGGTTGGTGTTGGACGTCTCTGGTGCGCTTTGTTCTCAGCATGGTTTGAAATGCGAGAGGCTTCTGGCATTATCGTGTATTTTCGGGGCACTTAAGAGGCTTCCGAAAAAGTGTCCTGGTTTCCGTGTACCAAGGATTGGAGCAACGACGGACAGATGAAGCATTCGATCCGGCTGGTTGCTCAGAGTTACCATTCCGTTATGACTCACTGGGTCAAGCCGGATGCCTCCTAAGCCCAATCCGCATTCCACCCAGACCGCAGTCACTAAAGCAAAGCTAGTTTGTTCTGTTGGTGTAACAGTCCTGTGCTTCCACCGAGTCAGACGGTGTGTGTGGCAGGAAACGAACTGATGAAAGAAAGCAGTCTGTAGCATTGCTAACAGGTAGCAAAGTCCTCATAAAAATAAGTAGTAGGAAAACGTTGAAAAAAAACTACGAGGGAGTAACAACACTTATGTCAGAAGTCACTGAACACACTACTGTAGCCACTGATTACAGTCTGAAGCAATCATAACTGCACTGGTAGGATTGCCTAAATACCGGTCAGTTCGTGGGCGACGAACGATAGAGAATTTACAAGTCTAAAACTAGCACTGGGTGGAATTAAACGTCAATAGAGAATAAGGAAAACAGTCAACGAGCGGTGAAACCGACAGCTGTGCTAAACGTCATACCTTATCAGCAACCATAAAGGTGGCATAAAATCCCACACCGAATTGACCAATAATATCGGTATTGCTGGCTCCCTGATTCTGTTTCTCCAAGCTGGAAAGGAATTCACGGCTCCCCGAGCGAGCAATCGTGCCGAGATTGAGCTCCATTTCCTCCCTGGACATGCCAACTCCCGTATCTTGGATGACCAGCAGGTGTTTCCTTTCATCGGTCTTCACGTGAATTTCCATTGGGCTGTCGTCCGAAGTTGACTCAGCAGTAGTGCGTTGAAAACGAAGGCGTTCAATCGCATCACTCGCGTTGGAAATAAGTTCACGGATGAACACCTAAATACGTGAATAACAAAAACACTCAAAAGATAGAAATCAGGGCATACCTTTCTAAACTAAATCTATTCCAGGGAAAGTGTGCTTTGCATCGAATGAGCTTGGGATAGTGCGAAGATCAAGACAAAGAAAGTCGTTAGTTAGCTTCACACCTTGGTTGCTTGTCTCTAAACCAGTGTGATAAAGAAAAGTTATCCTAACCCTTATGTTTTGCATCAGACACTATGTCAGGAAATGGGCTGACTGGTCTCATAGGGTTAAGAGAAATCATAAAACAACTAAAAAAAAATCACCCCAAGACAGGCCCTTCCAAAAGGCCAATTAAAATTTCTCCTCAGGAATCACAGTAATGTGCATCAGACTACTGGCATATTGAGAGGTTCTGGGGAGATATCCACACTAGAAAACATATGAAAGATTCACAACAATGCACAAATCAGATGTAAGCAAGATGAAAGGAGAGCCACAGGGAGCTCAAACTCACTGATATCCTTGTGTATTGAAAAGCCACAAGGAAATTCACGTGAAACAACACCAAAGTCAAGATTCTGAGCTTATAGCAGCAAATTCGCATCGCACTGCGATCTCCCAAACAAAAAGAGGAGAGTGTGCATTTTGACCTCTTTTTATCTCCTATGGGATTTAAACTAAATAGAGTCCTTCTTTTGAGGTCATTACAATCAACTTCGACATTTACACGACACCTTCACCGAAGAAAAAATAAAAATAGTTTAGCTGTAGCACCCTTTCGGTGCCTAACTGTCATGCCACCCGAAGGTTGCACGAGGGCTGCCAGGTCGCCCAAGCCTAGGAAGTCAGAGGCGGAGATCCGGGTTCGAATACGGACCTTCCACTCAGTAAATTCGCGCTGTAACTACTTGGGTCGTCTTTCCCCTTTCACCGACGAAGGATATCACGTAGTGCTGATTGTTATCAAGAGTGATTATATCGAATGACCCGCAAGATTGTATGAGATAGTTATTTCCCGAGTACGTCTCATATGGGGGGCAAATTAACCAAAAACAAGAGTGCGCATGTAATTCAAGGTTACCGTTCGTTTACAGCCCGAAAAATGTAGCTCAACAAACTAAGGGAAAAACAATAACGTGAGAACACGGGAAGTGGTCAGCGACAATGTGGCAAAAAGAAGGGAATGAATATTCCGTCGGGCTGGCGAGGGTCACCAGCTAGTACTGAGAATAACCTCTGGGTAAGGAGAGTTCGCACAACAAAACAATATTTCTGCCCTTTCTGAGACCTTGAGTTGGAGGACCACCTTGAACAGAAGCCCTGTGAAGAACTAACTTCGATAATTCTGATTTTTACGACATAATCCACCTTCAAAAGAATACCACGCAGGACAGCACGCCTCTTCAGCGAGTTATCTCCGCAGATCTGCTTATTTGCTCGGGCGAGGAAAAGCACTGCAGCCGTTCCGTTCAATAGGATTAGTGAACACAAACAACATCGAGGGTGGCCACAGGTTTCAGTCGACAATCCTTGATGGCTGAAGCGGACACTACTACTTGATTCAATTCTTTAACACTTTAGGAAACGTTACGCACTACTTTGCACCGTCCGAAATGCCGCAAAATTTACGAATCTCGCACAATAATGCGACCTTTTCGTCACGTTTTGGGGGGCACCTGTTGCATGATTCACTCTCAGCCCTGTTGCTGTGGTGACTAAGTACCGCGCTATAGGTACCCATACTGACAGCATCAGCACGATCTCACGTGCTGAAGCTCGCTTCACCAGTGCACTGTAAATGACGAGATGACCTCGCGGCATGGGTACCGAATGAAGAACGTGGTGTCATTATCAAGGTCGCATCAGAATTCACGAATACCGGGGGTGTTCCCTTCACTTCAGAAACGGAATTTCTGTGCCCCCAGGATATGTTGTCCGTTGTCTGATGAGTGGTCCAAACACTCGGTGGTCCCTCGAGTGCTTCCGTCACCTTGTGAACCAATGGTGCACCGGTGAACTTTCCTCTACAGCTGCGATACACAAAGATGAAGAAATCACTCACAACCTAAGCCCATCTACAAGAAAGAGAAATGGGTAGCAACACATTTCCGACAAAAGACAGGTGACTTCAACCTGCGATAACCATACCAGATGCGAAACATGACGCTGGTACCCACAATATCATCCCTAATCTCTGTGCATATATCAAGGGCGGGGGCGAGATGGCCCAAGTGGTTAGAGCGCAAATTTACTGACCGGAAGGTCCGTGGTTCGAATCCGACCTCCGCCACTCGACTTCCCCTGTCTAGGTTTGGGCAACCTGGCAGTATCTCAGCCCTCATGCTTCCTTCGGATGGCATGGCAGCTAGGCACCAGAAGGGTGCTACAGCTGAACGCCCCCATACATCAAGGCTGAGTGAAAGATACGTTATTTTCATGTAACAAACCACACGGTCCATCCGACAAAAACGATGACTGGTGTTACGAAATAATCGAAATAATCCAATGTTAGGGAGCTCAAACCAGTCATAATTCTAGAGTGAATTGTGGGTTAGACTGAGGCGTTTTTTTCGTTTTACGAAGTGAAAGGTAATTCTTCGAAAGAAAAGCTGTCTATTCCCAATGCCCGCTCGGTGTAGATTTAAAGAGGGTTCACACTCTCAGGGTATACTCGGACTTCGTGCTACTTAACTCAAGGTTAAATAAAATCCGCCTACCCTGAGGATTCAGTTACCGTTACAAATCCGGGCAGCCAAGAATAGTGACTTCACCATGGTTTCGTGCAACATACTCCCTCACACCTAAGCGAACTCGAAGAAACTTGAGGACCTCGACCAGGGACGGGATTACGCCACAGTAACCCACAGCTATTCAGTCAATCGTAATGAGACATGTTTGAGGTAAGGGATTCGTGTAGCTTATCGACAGCAGCCTATGTGCTTCGTCCGTCAGTGCCGTCTCATTAAGAATAGTGATGTACCAAGCGGGCCACCTTGACCGATGCAAGCATAGGTGGTCCACAATTAGAGACTGAGGGTATACCATGAGCTGCGAGCCAATCCACCTCGTCTATGCAGCATTTTGAACTTCCAGTGCATAATCTTGGACTTTTTAGGAAACTTTGCTGGAAATGCTGAAGTGCATGAAAGATTATCAAGCACCGTCCCGGTTTAATAGGTGCCATTCATCCAAACTTGTGAGCAGTTTTGCTCTCGTGCGCACCAAACTGCTGAAGCATCAGGTTGCATGTTCAGACAGTTTGAAACATTATTAAGGTTAGTCTCAACTTAACGCCGAAATGAGTGCACCTCGCTAATAAAGATTTAATTTTTAAATGATTCTTAATAAAGTACGCAGAAATTTCGCTCCACATTATATTCATGTTCAAAGTTTTAAGTCCCGCACTGATACCAGAAATCATGTTGCAGGTGTGCACAAAACCCTATCATTAAATCCCCACAAGTTTTCGAATAGGTCTGCCTGTAACTATGTGGGGGATAATTCGGCAATAAGGGACAGAGACAATGGTCACATCAAGTCAGACGTTGCCATGTTTATCCACGATTTTTCTGTCTTATCTTCAAAAATGTCCCGAGGTGAGGATCAGCTGTGACTCTCTCCGTCTAGTTTAGCGACAAAATGCACACTTGGGAAAGAAACGGGACAGCACATTATCAGACTACTCCCTCCTTTTGGGATTTCCGCTACTATGCATCTCGTATTTAAATCAAAGACATCTACGCCATCCAGATAGCACGATTTTTATCGCTGAATATCACTTTCTGTCGATTACGGTCCCATGAAAAAATTAAGAGCTCGCCTGACTGTGCTTCCTGTGAACCATAGTCCACTAGAAGAGCTTCCGCATATTCACGCATTTCGAAATAGGAAAATCACGTAATGATCGCTCCATATCCCTGGCCCCCAAATGCATACTAAGAGGACCACTTGAAATTCTGGTTATCAGCTGCCTAGCTTCTGCTTCGTAATGTATTCCGGTATTTGTGATAAATCCTTTGATGTACGGCGTCCTTCCCAGAAAAATTGACCAGAGATTTGTTTGGCAGTCTTTTAGGTGATATAAATTTCGTTGCGGCGAGTCATATGGTTAATCCATAGACGAAGATTCACGCATGCTTTACCTGACTCAAATGAACTAGTGGGTCGCCTACATCGAAACCATAACCCATCGGTAAATTTTAGTCACGAGTGAGAATACTGCACCGTTGTTTGGGTGCGTGAGTATTTCGAATTCCGAGTCAATCTCAGCAGTGTTGTCAATGGCGTTCTGAACTCCCAGCAAGTAACAGGACCCATTGCCATAAACTCTGAATAAATGCTTTGGACGATATGTATTGTAAATATGGACGCCTCACAGTTAAAAAATGGGACTGAGAATCGGATGTGTTTAATGTCATGTTGCGTCGGTGAGCTGTACTCAGAACTATACAATGAACCTGATTTGGTCGCGTTCTGAGTTGACCGGATTCAAAAGTGCTATACTGAAGTGGTCCTTAGTTTCAGACGACGAAAAAGCCAGGAATCTATCTAGAGCAGCAGTGAGAGGGCTGCCAAAAGTGAATGCTATTTTGGTAACACACTGACACTGTGGACAGGTCCAAAATAGTATTACGAAAATGAGATGCTGTCAACCAGACAGGAGTCGCAGAGGCAGTAAATGAGTCAACGAGTGTGTATGTTCGCATTCAATTCGCTCTAGTCAACCCAGCTGAAAGTTGAGACAATCTCAATAAAGCTGGAAAAGATGTGTATGGACTCAAAATCTTGTTCCCTCATTCCTCCAAGCACTAGCACCGCAGTACATAAAGCAGTGATGTGTTCTATATGAAATTAGATCTCCGTCGGACAATTGGTTGAAGCGGACAAATATGTGCATGCAGAATGGCGGAACAAGAGCTCACTGAATATACGACTCATGTAGTGCGAAAAGCAGGTTATAGGTTGGCAACCCAGAATCCTACCAGACTCTATTCAAGCACCATCTCTTGTTGCATTGTATCCCACAGGCCTCAATGCATTACAGATTTTTGGTCACGAATAGTGTTCCTCCTCCGGAAAAAGTTTCTAAAAAGGAATAATTCCACCCAGGAAAATATCTTGTAGCCACGCCTTTGAACGAAAAATCACTCAGGACAGATGACACCATGTGGCGATTAGAATAACCGATTCGATTCCTACGAACTGTTCCTGAACATCGTTCTGGCCAGCACAGCCAATACACTATCCCGTCAAATCGGTGAATTTTTCATGACCGAACTGGGCTTGACCGAGTCGACAAATGTAGCCTCGGATATGCAGACATCATGTGCTGAGATATTTCGTAGTAGCAATGCCAATCGGAGACAGCAGAAGAGAAGAATGAGATACAGTAAAATGCACAATGGTGTAATGACTACCCAGTTCCAAATAATTACGATATTTTTGCTGAGATTCGTGATAAGTTATTCTTATCCAGTCCTTATTCAAATTTTGCTACAGAAAAAGGGGCCGATCCTCAGTGAACTAAATGACAAGTGCTCACTACTGCGATACGATGTGCAATCATAAATACGTCCGGGACACAGTCCAGATGAAACGGGAAATCCTATCTCTCACGAAACATCTTAAAACCCATTACTGTGATGCACGAACCGCGAGATGACGATTGAGATGACCCCTTGGAGTGCATCAAAGCTGTTTACCCGCGACGGGCAGTGTTGTATTAACGAATATCAGGAAGACTTTCTATAGGCATATTTTTGTAATGTACTACTCATAAGGTTGCTGAAAATCCATCGACAGCCCACGACCGGTTTCGCCCTTCTTGGGGCTCATCTGGTAGGCGCAGTCCCCGGGTTTCCGTCAACCTTATGTTCTACTTGAAACCAAATTGCACGAAATTAGCGAATATGGACTCATCTGCAAACTAATTTGGTTCTGAGAATATCATAAACGAGAGATTCAGCTGGGTTCCAGGTGAGTCTCTCGAAAGAACCAAATTAGTTTGCAGATGAGTGTATATTCGCTACTTTCTATAGGCATTTCATCGAAAATGTCAGGAACACCAAAGTATTCTAAATCTACAGTTCCTCCGGGGTAAAATATCACATGACAACTGGATACTCAGGTTCAATAAAGAACTTACCTCCTTCTCGGAGTAAAGCGATTTCGCAACTATATCCAACAACTTTTGAGTCTCTGCCTGGAACTTCTTCTTGGTTGCTGGTCCCCGGACATGTTCCACTTCATCGACTGATAAAGAAGGATTCGCTACAGAGAATGATCTGCCAACCAAGGTAGGAGTGACAGTCTTGCTATTCGCAAAAATCGAATGTCTGTGTGTCAGTGTTCTACGATTGGCCAGAGCTACGCAACGAAAAATCGCACATCTGGTAACATTTGGACGCACGAACATGAACATAATTGCCCGAGGAAACACCAAAAGTAACGCCAGGCTAAAGTAAATTGAAATAGATGGTTGATATGGTTGTCCGCGGAATGAAAACAGCGAAAGAAGTCTATATAGTCAATAAAGTAGATGAATTAACACCGCATCCCAAAAAGCAAACGTTTACTCCTCATTAACAAGATCAGTAATAACATAGCTGTCAATGCTAATGGTTACGAGACAGCCCATAGCTATTGCTAATTTAAACTTGCTGTCATAGGTGTTTTTAAGGTCAAATATCATTGTTAGACAAATGCTATTTTTGCGCAGCGGGTTTCAGAGTTAATGGACACGAATTAGATTCGTCCAACAAGACGATTTCTCCAATTGATTTTCAGCATTCAGCGCCGAGACCGCTCAGGGTTTTACACAATATCGATCATCATCATCGACGTATTTAGTGTCCAGCACTGACGCTTCGCTGTCGTACACATATAATTTATTTGAAAGCCTAATTGTGAAGAAAAGAGTAAAAGTGCCAGCTTGCTACAGTCATTCCGAGGTGCCTACATCTCCAGATACTTTTTCAGGGTACCCGGGGAGAAACTGACAACAACAACAGTGACATCGATTAGCAGCGCTTCCGACCAGGCGCAATGAAGATCATCATCATCATCATCATCGACAGCATGACATCTGAATGACTGACTCTGAATTGGGCACAGAAAACAGTATTCTCCTCGGCAAACCATGGTTCGGCATAAGCAATACATGGCCTAGCCAACGCAGATTCTGGTGCTGGATACATTCTCCGATGGTAGTTCCAGTCACGCAACCGAAAACTCACTTCCCAATTGTCTTGTTACGCATTCCCTGACACCAACCCGTGTGGTTAGGAAAAAACGATTGCCGAACATATGAAGACGTATTAGTTCCGCTGATCGAACAGGTCAAGCCTCACAGCAATACAAAGAAACAGTCCACACTGTAGCCTGATATACACGTCGCTTGAGAATCAGGGACATACCGCTTTCACGTCAAAGGTCTCCAATTATCAAACGCAAGCCAAGACCTGTTAATTGGCGCATGGACCTCATTTGTCACACTATGATCAAAACTCAATCGACTTCCAAGATAAGCAAAACACTCCACAACTTCGAATGCCTTTCCCTGGATTGCAAGTGTCGTGTTCAGTGACGGCATGTCCACGAGCATTACCTTACACTTTTTGGGTGCAAAGTGCATACCAAAAGACGTGGTGACTTCGGTCAGTTCAACCAAAAACACCTGCGCCTTCTCCTCATCCTCGAGGACGAGAACGATATCGTCTACATAATTCCAGATCAACAAGCTAGTTGAAGGACTTTCAGTGATCGTCTCGTTATTTCATAGATCACGAAATTAAATAGGAATGGAGAGAGTAGGCACACCCTGATGGACACCGCTTTGTGTACGGAAGCTTTTGGGGTTCTATGTATACCCTCACACGTTCGAAAGCATGAGAATGCAGAAATACAGAGAGCTTGTGTTAACAAACTTCCGGAATATTCCTTGAGTGGCAAGTGTCAAGGAAAACAGACAGGTCAAACTAGTCGAATGTGCTTTGAAAATCCAGGAATAATACAATTGTGGGTCGTTTGTGTCAAGATTCATCCAATGCAACCCCCACCAGACCGGAATCCCCCTTGCTGCACTCGAGCTGATGTTGCACGAGCCACCATAAGGCGAAAAAACGGTCTCGTTACAACCGGGGTCAATCTGATCCCTGTGTAGTCGCCACACTCCCTACAAGACCCCGTTTTAAACATGGGGTCTACCATCGACTCTCCCCGTTTGTCCTAGTGAGGCGAGCTAAAAGCTCAGATGTCGTTGCGGTCACCGGATATCTGAATGCAAAAGTGAGCAGGCTTAGCGCACCTGAAACTCAATCAGGCGCTCGACAGAGATGGGACTCGGTCTGTACGGATAATAGTGAACGATTGCTTCAGCTGTGTGCTGATCGCAGGCTGTTTTTATGCCAAGTTCATCCGGCCACATGGTGTCCTCTAACGGCATGCTGGCCACGAACTCGAGTTGATCACGTTTCCATCAGTCACCGATGTCACGGGTCAATAACTGGGTGCCGCTCGTTTTGGAGTAAGTTTGTGGATTCCGACCACGCGCTCGTTCAGTCAATTATCCCTTCGTTTTTCAGGGCTGCATGAGGTGTGTACAAATCAACCGGACTGGAAGATCCAGATGTTCGACGAATTCACCAAAATTGTCTTCAAGAGGCTTTTTCAGTTGCTCCTACATCATATGTAGATTCATACTGAGACGAGATTGTCACCTTGCACAGCGCTGAAATTCCACCTGCGGCACGTGGCTACCAGGCTAACCAAGCACTGGATGAGAGGCCGAAATATCCCAGGTGATCTCGAAAATAATTTGACACGAATTAGCTGACATCAAAAGTGAGCGCGCGAGCCGGCCGTGAAGTCTGGTGGACACGGAAAGCAAAGGGAATGAAGGAGGCTCAGAAAGGTGGTGTGTCTGAATACCATTTTAGTTGATCCGCACGACCGGTCCCAGTAAATCTTCTGTGAGCGGAACATCAAGGGTCGCACTTCAGTGATCACCTTGAAGTAAGAACGCCTCGACCGTTTGCCGAATGCTTTAAACATCTATAGTGCCCACCAGCTGTCACTTATCCTAAGCCAACACCTAACGTAGAACCCTGGACTGTGAACATGAAGCCATCTGCGGTGGTTATTAGCGGTTAATCCGTTGGCTATATAACATACGAACGTGGGTTCGTCTGGTTAACCACTAGATGACAAAGCTCTTTCGGTAGCCCAGGTAACCACGAGCGAATGGTATTGCACAACAGCCAGTATGTGCTCGAAAGAAAGAGCTCTAGCACTGGCGCGTGCGTCCAAGGTTAAAGTTAAGCTGTGTACTCCAGAATGAACGACAACCTAGTGTTGAAGCAATCCACAGGGGATCGGGTGATGGATGATCCACATGAGTCCACGGCTGGTGGACATTTGGTAGCCTCCAGGTGTGCGAGCGCCCCGTGCCGATCAACACGAGCAAAATTTGTGCAACGAAAACTTTCGAAAGTTTGGGCCGGACGAAAGTTGCGTGCCGGCAAAGGAGAATTACTAATGTCTTATTTACGGTATGATAACAAAATTTATTACGTCCAAATATAATCCGTGAAGGGGTAGGGGAGAGAAGAGTGCAGCACTGAACGAGAGGTGGGTGAAGGGGGAGGGACGAGAATGCCGAACTTCATTCTGAATGGCCTACAAGCTGACCAATAAGGGCACGGCTTCCCTCGGCCCGTAGAAGGCTCCTCAAATTGGTTATCTGCGGTCAGGACCGGGGTTGAGTTGATTCCAAGGCCATGTCAGGATCGAAGTTTTCTGCTGATTCACCAGGTTAGCTGCCTACGCTCTTTCACGGATTCACGGATCGAAGCTCTTGCCCAAGTTTCCCGGGTCAGTTTTGTTTTTGTCGTTCAGCGGCTGTCGTTCGCCTGAAAGGCACAAGTGAAGAAAGGGTATAGCACTGCTCTTTGTGTTCTCAGCACGGGGCAGTATGCTTGCCAGCACGAGGATTCGCGCGAATAAATGTCTAGTAGTGCTCTGAACTGGGTTCTAGAAGGAGCGTGGACAACCGACTGAGGGAGGTCATTCCACGCAGCTATTATACGAAATAAGAAAAAATGTCGCCTAACGAACGTGTGCGCTCTGAACTTAAAAATCTTCTTCCCATGTCCCTGCCTGGTGTTTGTTGGGCCAACGGTAAAAAGCCTTCTTGCCAGGCTTTCTCCGAACAGGGTATAAGGAAGAATTAGGTCCCCTCGGAGGCGACGGTACTCCAGGGGAAAGAGATCAAGCATCGCGAGGCGCGTTTCGTATTCCATGAATTTGATGCCGGCGACCAATTTCGTAACGGCTTGCTGGACACGCTCAATGAGGGTGACGTCTTTCGTGCGTCCTGAGTAGACAACTTGGTTGGCGTATTCCAGGAGCGGTCTGACATGGGCCCCATAGGGTACTTGGAAGTCCATGCCCATAATACCGGGGAAGGTGCGTCGGATCATCCGAATACCTTCTGTGCCAATTTATCGTGGTGAAGCGAGAAGGAAAAGTTTGAGGAGACTCAGATACCCAAATTCTTTTTGGCGTCTGTCCTCATGAGCCCAGTTAGCACCGGTGCAGAAATCTCTGCAGAATGTCTGCACCCGGGTGCGGACACTGCCGCACAGTTTCCGGAGATTTCTGCACCCGGTTGAAGATTCTTTGCGGAAGTGAAACAAATTTCCGCACCCAATCCGTACCCGGATGCGGAAATAGTGCAGACCTTTCCGCATCCAAGTGCGGAAAATCCGTACTTAGTATCGGAATTTCCGCACCCACTCCGCACTTAGCTAAAGTCGTCAGACGCGCAAATATAGCCCATTATACGGATTTGTCTCTTTCCCCAGTACGATTCAGTAACATCGTAAACACTAAGTGATAGTCCACCTGCCCCCACATAATTGCTCAGCGTATTACCTTTCCGGATGTCAATAAGCGCCTTCAAGTACAAAAGTTTTTATGAATGAATTTTTAAAAAATACAGGGGGAAATCATTTATCGCTCTTGGTGGCTCTCTGCAGGCGTTTCCGAACTTTCTGCCGTTCGTTCTCCTGCCAGAGATGAACGATTTCCTTTATTTGTCGCAGATTTGTGTTCGGAAACTTCTCACTTGTCGCGTCTGTAACGAAGAACATAGTTATTGTGTTTCATCCGGACACCGATTCAACTAGCTAAATATAAAATAACAGTTAACTACTTACAAATAAGTCCTCGGGCCAGCCTGGTTGACCCGAAGGCTTCTTTTTCATTTATTCCGCGCCAGTTGAATAATACGGCTAGCCTTGGTGCCAACGTCCGCGTAAGCAGGTTGGTCACGTACACTTGTACATCGCCAGCCTCCTTCAAGAGCCACCTTTCCACCTTTGTGAAATCAACAATCGCGACTGCAACTAACACTTACCAGCTGTGCATAGCGTGGACCATCTCTTAGATGTTCTTTG